TGTTTCTAGTTCTGCCCTCAGGCACTCAGCCAACAAGTCAGCTTGGATGTTGTAGAGGACATACCATGGAAAGAGCTCTGGCTCTGGAATAAGAGGGCCTGGGTTTGAATTCCGCCTCTGATGCCCATCACCTGAGTGACCCTGAGCAAGTTACCTGATCCCCCTGGGCCTCAGTTTCCTCATTTATAAAATGTTAAACTAGGTGACCTCCAAAGTATCTTCTAGGTCTGTTCCCATGATCCCACTACTTCCGCACTTCCTCCCAATTTCTATGGATTCCAAGTCATTCTATGAATCGGGTTCATTCTGGCTCTTGTCTAGATCATTCCTGAGTTAAGGCCAAGAAGGGTTGTTTCAGCCTTCAGTGCTAGCTGACACTTAACCCCCTCACCTAAGCAGGATTGTTTCCCAGGTTTGCCCTCAGGCTCATAGCTTCTTAACCTTCCCTCTTTTTGTTCTCCCATTCTTCCGCTCCCTCCCCTCTCACTGAGTCCTGCTCTTTCTTCTGTCTTGTAGCTCCTTGGTCCTATCTCCTCTCCTGGTACACCTTTGTTCTCTTCTGTAACAATTAGAACTAGATATTTTGGAGAAACAGCCTTGAACATCATCAACCCAGTCTGGTAAGCCTGGTTTGGCAACCAGCTGAGTGACATTGAGCAAATAACTTCATCTGAAGCAACCTCAGGTTCCTTATCTGTAAAATAAGGAGGCTGAACTGAATTAATGATAAGATCCCTGGTAGATCCCTGATTTCATGATCATGTAGACCTAGATTGTGGGATCTGGGAGAGAAAAGAAGTCATTTTAATCTATTCTACTCTTTTTTTTTTAATGAAGAAATTGGAGTACAAAGAGATGCAATTTGTCCAAACTTAAAAAGATAGTAAATGGTAGAGCCAAAAATGGTGACTAAATCATCTGGTATGAACTAGGGAAAGTAGCATGGTGTAGTCAGAACAAGGGCAGCTAGGTGATGCAGTAGATAGAGTACCAGGCTTGGATTCAGGAGAATGTGAGCTCAAATCAGGAGAACCTGAGTTCAAATCCAGTCTCAGACACTTAGTAGACGCGTGATCCTAGACAAGTCACTTAACCCTGTTTGCCTCAGTTCCTCATCTATAAGATTAGATGGAGAAGGAAGTGGCAAACTACTTCAGTATCTTTGCCAAGTAAACCCCAAATGGGGTCACGAAGAGTCAGACACAACTGAAAATGACTGTCAGATAAAATAGTCAGAACAAGCACAAATTTGGAGTCGGGGGGCCTTGGTTTGAATCCTAACTCTGACACTTACTACCAGTGACCTTGTGCAAGTTACTTCACTTTTCTTGGCCTCAGTATCCTCATTTATAAAATGAAGGAATTAGAATAAACAATTGCTGAGGTCCCTTTCAATTCTAAATCCCCTAAATCCTATGAATTTGAGAGGTGTGTGATAAATCTGAAAGGCAGAGAGGGGATGGTTGATCGTGGGCATCAAATGTCAGTGTTGCACGATTTGGACTTCATCTTGCCAGTATTGGGGAGGGGGAGGTTTGGACTGAAGAGTTTTTGAGCAAGGGAGGGACATGTTCAGACCCATACCTGAAATATTAATCTATCGGCACATACAAGACAGAAGAAAAGGAGAGGTGCAAAAGAAGTGGGGATAACATGAAAAAAGTTATCTTCAAGATATAAAATGGAAAGCTTTACTTCAATTCTCATATGACAAAATTCTAGAAAGTACTATGAAAGTGATGGATTTATGAGCACTTAAAATGGAAAGCAATGGTCATTAACAGACAGCATGCCTTCTTCAAAAACAGACCTTAGCCAAACTAACTGCATTTCTTTTTTTGAGCAAGATCACTAGACTGGTAGAATGAGGAATGTCACTGACGTAGTATACCACCAAGGTGTCATGTATACTAGTAAGGAATTTTATAAGATTTCTCGCAATAATTTTTTGAACATGATAGAAGGATATTGGCTAATTGATAGTACACTTATATGGCTTGGAGAACTGGTTGAATGATCATAACCAAAAAGAGGTGAATAATGGATATATCCAATTCAGAGAGAATTCACTAATTGAGTGCCCCAGGGATTCATCCTTAGCCTTATATCATTAGACATTTTTATCATTGACTTGGTTGGAGACATACATGGCATGATTATAAAATCTGAAGATGGTTCAAAGCTGAGGACAGCTAATATATTGAGTGGAAGAATATAAGTCTAAAAAGATTTCAATGGGCCATAACGATGGGTTGAATCTAATAAGGTAGAGTTAAATAGGAAGAAATGTAAATTACTATACCCGGGTTCAAAAAATTAACTGTACAGATGCTCATTGGGGGTTCAATATTATAGCAATATAATAGTTTGTGTGCAGAAGACCTGGGTGCTTTGATAACTACAAGCTCAAAATGAAAAAGCAGCATTATACTACAAACAAAAATGCTAACACGACCTTAGACTACATTAAAGAGCCATGGCAGCCAGGATGAGGGAAGTGATGGTGGCAGTGGAGTGTGCCTAGGTCAAGCATGTATAACGTATCATGCTTAGTTCTGGATGCATATTTTAGCAGAAACATTGACAAACTCAAATGCATCCAGAGACAAATGAATGACAAGAATGGTGGAGGGACTGGAAGCCATGCCATTCAAGGAAGAGGTGAGGAAAATATAGATGTTTAGCCTGAAAAAGAAAAATTTTAAAGGCGACATGATAATTGTCCTCAAGTACTTGAAGGGATATAATACAGAAGAGAAATTAAACTTGTTCTGCTTGGGCCCAGAGGACAGGAGCAGGATCAATGGGTAAAAGTTGCAAAGTAGATTTAGGCTTGATGGAAGGAAAAGTTCCTAACAATTAGAGATGTGCAAAAGTGGAGTAGACCTCACTGAAGATCTTTAGGCTGAGGAATGATGCACCCCTGGACCGGCTGTTACAGAAGGTATTCGGGAATGAGTTATACTAAATGGTGTCTGAAGTCCCTTCCAACTCTGATTTCTGTTCATCTGTCATAAACTGAATTCAGCTTCTTTTTCTCCACCCAAAAACCTGCTCCTGCTCCTCCTCACACTCATAAGTGTTGATAGCACTATTGATCAACCCAGTCAACTAGGTATGAAACCTTAGTGTTACCCTTCCCTCTTCCCTCCTCCTACATCACCAATATCTTTCTGTTCTCTCCTCTCCATATACATCGCCAGCACCTTGGTTTTAGCCCTCATAGGCCATCACCTGGGAGATTATTGTAGCTTCCATGTCTCATCTCTCCTCTCTTCAGTCCATCTTTCACACGACTGCCAAAATGTTCTTCATAATACCTAAGTCTGGCCATGTCACATCCCTGCGCAAAAGTCTTTAAAGGCTACCCATTAGATAGAAGATAAAATTTAAGCTCCTTAGCTTAGCTTTTCTCATCCAGTTCCATAATTCCTTTCCAGTACAAAAAAGTTTAAATTTTCAGGAATAAATACAGAGTATCCTAGTGTAGTTTGAAGCTACCAAAGCTTACAACTGAACTATGACTTTTGGGACACCCTGTATAAAATCTCTACCCTTAGGTTCATAAAAACAACTTACAAATACAGAATTTGGGTTGGAGGTTGTCGTGGATAGGTAATAATTCATGTGAAAAAAAAGATTTAGGAATTTTGTTAGACTGAAAGTACAATATGAGCCATGGCACAATACTCAGTGCCTTCAAAATAAAAAAGATATAATGTCCACAACAAGGGAGATAATCATCTTGCATATACTCTACCCTGATCAGACACATCTGGAGTATTCTTTTCACTTCTGGAAATGAGATTTTTGAAACAAAATTGGGTGTCATCCAAAAGACACTAAGGATGATGAAAAGGATAGGAGACAAGGATCCTTACAAGGATCTGTTGAAGGAACTGGGGATGTTTATCCCGGAGAAAAGAAGACTCAAGGGAACATGGTGGTTAAATTCAAGTATTTAAATGGTTGGCCCATAGGCTTGCTCTACTGAGAGAATAAGTTGGGCCGTAGGGGCTTGGAGAGAGTTGTAGGATGATTAATGGATCTAGGTCCTAAAGAACACAGGAAAGGATAGGCTTGAAGGCAAAGATGAAGAAATTCACCTTGACAAGGCTAGGAAGGTTACCTTATTTTCTGAGACCAGAAGGAAAGAGGAAAATAATGAGAGCAAAAAGAAGAGTTTTGAGGTATAAAGGAAGGAGAAAGAATATTTGAGGAAATTTGTCTCTGACAGCCTCTTTCTTCTCAGTAAAGAAGTTGGTCATGCTAAGAGTGAGGGGCCAAGAGCAGAAAGAGATTTTTTTTTTTTGCGAGTCAATCCATGTTAAGTGACTGGTCACTTAGCTAGTAAGTGTCTAAGGCTATATTTGAACTCAGGTCCTCCTGATTCCAGGGCCAATGCTCTATCTACTGTGCCACCTAGCTGCCCCCAGGATGAGATTCTTTAAGGAAAATGGAGGTTAGGAACAACCTCAGTGGGAACTCTGAGTAGAATATGACAAAAAGGATTGCCAAGCAGCAGTGGGGACCTAGATAAGATTAAAAGGTATGAATTTATTATGGTAACAATCAGACTAATTCCATAACTTTTTTCAATTACAATCAGTAATTCAAGAGCAAGAATGGGGAAAGAGAACAATAGTGGTTTCCCAGAACTGGGCATTGATCACTGTAGGCCCGACTCTCTGCTCCCATACCTATTCACCCTGGAGCATCCCTTAACTTGGCCAATTAGCATGAACCTCTGGAGGTCTTAAGTATTAGATGTCTCTAAAGCTGGACAGAGACCATTCATCTCATCCTTTTTCCATTCTCCCATTCTTTGTCTCCCCACAGAAACAGGACACTTCAGAACCCAGGCAGCCCCCACAACCCAAGGTCATGGGCTCTCCAGAACTGACACTTAACCTCCATCCCAGCCTGGAGTCCCAATCAAGCATCTCTTCTGTAGTCTTTCCTTTCCTTCCCCTAATTTCAGCCTCCCATCACAATCAGGGATGACAGAGCTGTCCCTAATGTCCAATACCACCTTCCCCTGCCCAGCTTCCTTCCTGCTAACAGGCATCCCAGGGCTGGGCACCATGCATGCCTGGCTCTCCTTGCCCTTTGGCTCCATGTACCTCCTAGCTCTGCTCGGCAATGCAGCTCTGCTGGCTGTGGTGAAGGCAGATACTACTCTGCATCAGCCCATGTTTCTCCTCCTGGCCACTCTGGCTGCCACTGACCTGGGCCTGGCCTCCTCTGCGGCCCCAGGGCTGCTAGCCATCCTGTGGCTTGGGCCCCGGCCCATCCCCTATGCTGCTTGCCTGGCCCAAATGTTCTTTGTCCATGCCCTGACTGCCATGGAATCAGGTGTCTTACTAGCCATGGCCTGTGACCGTGCGGTGGCCGTGGGGAACCCACTACGCTATCCAACCCTGGTCACAAGTACCCGTGTGGGTTGGGTAGCTGCGGCATTAGGGTTGCGGGCTGTGGCCATTGTGGTGCCCTTCCCATTGCTGGTGGCCCGATTCAAGCATTTCCGGATGAGGGCCGTGGCCCATGCTTACTGTGAACATATGGCAGTGGTAGAACTGGTAGCTGGCAATACAAGGGCCAACAACCTGTATGGGCTGGCACTATCTCTGGCAGTATCGGGTGTAGATGTAATGGGCATTGCAGGCTCTTACATTCTCATTGCTCACACTGTGCTGAGGCTGCCCACCCACGAGGCCCGGGCCAAGGCTTTTGGTACCTGCAGCTCTCACATCTGTGTCATCCTGGCCTTCTACGTGCCCGGCCTCTTCTCCTACCTCACACACAGATTCGGCCGCAGAACCGTCCCCCTCCCAGTGCACATTCTACTCTCAAACATCTACTTGCTGCTGCCCCCATCCCTCAACCCACTCATCTACGGTGCCCGCACCAAACAGATCCGGGAGAGGCTCTTCTCATTCTTCACACCCTGGAAGGGTCAGCTTTGATAGGACGCCAGGAGTCTGGGCTGGAGGCCTTGGAACTGTGAGAGAGGCTTGAGGTATCTGCTCATTGGCCCCCACCTACATCTACCATCTAATTAACAAGCATTGACTGCTTGGGCTCTGTGACTCACCCACAAACTAAGTCTGAGCTTTCACCCGGTCCTAATTAGACTGCCCATCCTGCTTTCTCTCTTCCAAGCCCCATTCCTCACCTCTTTTGAAAACTGTCTCTGGACTCAATTGCCCCAGGAAAACTTTCTGGTTATTCTTCCATCCCCCATGCCCAGACATTATGGGCCTCCTGTACCCTGACAGTCCTTAGACTGTGCCTAGAGCATCCTCTGCCTGTTCACGTCACTTGTGACCTTTTTTGTGTTTCTGTGCACTTCGGTAAATGTGCTCATGTCCCTCTTCCCCAAACAGAGTACCTCAACAGCAGGGACTGCAATGTCCAAAAGTTGTGTGGTCTAATGGAAGGAACCCCGGACTGAGGGTCAGAAAACCTGGGTTCAAGTCCTCGCCCCAACATTCATTAGCTTTGTGACCTTGGGCAAAAACAAATTTTACTTCTTCAGGGCTTGGTTTTCTTATCTTTAAAATGGAGGTAATCATCCCTACTTAGCCCTCCTCAAAGAACTACATGAGATAATGGACACGAAAGGACTTTTACAACTTTGAGCATTAATAGAAATGTCAGGATTGCTGTTGGAATCCTATTTCAATGAATGTGTCAAGCAGCTGGTGCCGTCATAGTAGCACAAGTTTGTCGATGGGAATCCAGTGGGTTATACAGAATAGAAAATCCTGTACAACTTCTAAGACAGGAAAACCTGGGCTAGCAGCCTGCCTCCAATGTACACTCACTGTGTGGCCATGGACAAGTCCTTTTAACCTCTCCGAGCCTCAGTTTCCTTATCTATAAAATGGGGAAGATAACATCCACAGTACCTATTTCATAGGGTTACTATGAGCCTTACCTAAGTTAACCTATGTAAATCAATTTGCAAACTATTAAGCCCTATGTAAATGTCAGTTATTACTTTTAATTATTGTCTTGCTTGCATCAGTCTCTTTTGCCACAAAAAAAAACTTTTTGGTGTACTCCATATATCATATATTATATGTATTGTACAGGGTTCAAGTTCTAATAAACATGAATATATTTCCCCAGATGTCAAAATGGTGATTTGAAGAAGAGGTAGGGAAAACATAAATTGTATTTTTCCCCTTCCTCAGTAAAGGTGCTTCCTGGATATGGGAAGATCATCTCCCTGAGTAATAGTAGTGGGCCATTAATTATTGTACAAAGGGCTTGGAGTCAGTGCAAGGACCACAAGTATTCAAAGATTTATTCCCTTTGTCACCCTGGGTAAGTCACATGACCTCACAGACTCAGTTTCTTTATCTGTAAAATAGAAGTAATAATTATTTCACTATCTACCTCATGGGGTGGTTTTGAAAGAATGCTTTACAAACCTTAAGTTCAATGCAAATGTGAGTTATCATGATTATTAATAGGTTAAATCATTATTAATAAATTTGTTTTCACAGGTATCATTACTAACGGCCGTCCCCTGATTCTCTTGACCTTAGACTCTCACAAGGAATCTGGGGAGTTGAGTAAGGAACAAGATCAGGTGCCCTGTGACCCTTTCTGATGCTCTTTTCTCATTGCAGAGATCAGCTCCAAGTGTCCTACAGTCCCCTCAAGGATCTACCAACCAGAAATGTCTAGAGTTTATTTCTTTTCCTGGTCTGGACTACATTTCCATGGGTGCAATCCCTAAGTGCATTCCTTGCTGGCTGGTAGGCAAGACTTCTATGACTGTAGACAGAATGACAGTCACAGATCTCCCTTCCCTATGAGGGGGCCCCATTCAGTCAGAGCCACAATGCACCAGCCTGACTGGAAGCAAAGAGAACTAATATCATTGTCAAGGTTCAATCAATCAAATAAGCTTTTATTAAGCACCTACCATGTGCCAGATTCTCTATTAAGCTAAAATGAGCTAAGTGAAAATCCTTTTCTGCCAAGTTTCCCATCACACATAAATCATCCCACACAGACATATCAACCAAAAAACCCTTCCAAGGTAGGGGTAGACATATTTCTGCAAAAATTGTATCCCTTCAGCACATATTCCAACCCTACCTTCTAATCACTGTATCTCTCTCAAATAAGCTATCTTAATTTTTTTCTTTATTTTTAGTATGAATTTAATATTAATCAAACACGAACAGTTCAAAATTCAAAGAACAAAAATAGGATTGCATATGAAATCATGAACTTCGGTTATGTACTCGATTTTTTAAATATATATGGGGGGTATTGCCTAGGTGGTTTATAAATGTCATATGGATTTGTCTACTTGTGATTTACAGGGAGGTAAACCTTTCCAAGAGAGACTTTGATTCTTGCCAAGAAAGGAAGCAAGAGGTTGGGGCCAAAAGCTGGCAACTCAGCTGTCCTCAGAGAGAAGAGGTACCAGTTTACAATTATATCTATCTGCTCCCTTAAATTTTATTAGTTTAGTGAAAGTAATTTTTAGGTTCAAACTGCATTCCTGATTGGTGTCCCCTAATGGAGGAGGACCCCAACCTATATATCCACCCAAGGCTTGACTCCCTTCCCACCAGATGCTAGTTCTACAATGAATGCAAATAGCAAATAAGCCCATTTATCCATAGCAAAAACAGAAATCAGAGAAAGTATTCATCTGAGACTATATACCAGACAGCACACAGAGTGAATGAACTCTCTCTTTGGGAGTAAGATAACTCAGCTTAACCAAGAGTCCCAGATCTCACCCACTGGGAAATTCTCTGATGTCTCTAGTGTAAGAATCAGGGAATATGGACATGGTAGAGACTGCCAGTTCTTCTAAAAACTACTTCTTCCCAGAAACTTTCTCCTTCAGGGGCCTGAAGAGAGGTTAGAACAGTATGCCTTCTCTCTTAAAGCTGGAAGCCAAGAGACACCAGATCTTTCTTCTCTCCAGCTCTCACCAATTCCATCCCTCATGCAGGCATAGGGCATTACATAATCAGTCTCCATCAATGAGGAGAGAGTCCCATCCAATTGGCCCTTTGAGCCAAAGTTTATATTCCTGCCTTGGCCTGAAACTCTTTGCACTCCCTTACAAACATCAGCCTGGACGAGCTTGACATCTGTAACTATATAGTATGCCTAACTACATATAGGATATAACACACGGACATTTTAAAAATGCATGCATATCCAGAGTACACAAATCAAAAGCAACAATAATAGCTAATTAAAAAACAAAACTAGCTAGCTAAAAAAACAAAAGTAGCAACAATAACACTATCAATAGGCCTATATATAAAATACAGCTAATCTATATGCATTAGCAAATATACAAAATTAACAAACAGATGTTGCTATACATGAACATAACACATAGTGAAATAAATATAATAGCAAAATAAGAAATAAGCACACTCAAACATGCAGTAATTCACATGTACAATTTTAATATGCGATTACATTCAAGACATTTCATATTGACACCCAGATACATGGGTAGCTATATCTTCAGGTTTACCTGTACCATCATAACTCAGCCTAGTGAATAGACTGATAGGTTTAGTTCTCTTGTCACCATTTGATCTCTCTGCTCCTATACCAGAGCTAAGAGTTGGTATGGGCTGACCATCAGGATCATTGTAGGTTTGTGTGTCTACACCCAGGCTGGCATGTCATTTGATTAATTCTTTGGGTTGAATCTGTACCCTAGGAGTCTCTATAGCAATTTGGGGCAGGATAAGAGTTGCCTCTAGGTTCAATTCTTCTGCCCTGTAATAATATACACAATCTTTACTGGATGTATCACTTTCAGCTCCCAGAGCTGGATCAGAAAGTCTTTGTACAGCTGGTACACAGTCTCTTTTTCTCTGCCTTTGCCTATGTGGGTGTTCATCAGTTCTCTCCACCTAATCATTAGAGAGTCTAAGCAGCCCTCCTATGGACAGTAGATGGTTGTGATAAATAATCTTGAGAAGGCTCTACATAATATAGCTAACATTTATATAGTGTCTACATTGAGAGAGGCCATTGACCCAATTTATTGGTTACTGCTAGCCTAACTAATAAATTGACCATGCTCAAACCATTGTCTCTCAGTTTACCTTAATATTCAAATGCAACAAGATGTACTAGTGTTCTTGTCAAGATCTAGACTATTCCATAACAAAAAAAAAAAGAGTAGTATTATAGAGATACAAAGCACAGTCTATTACCATTAACACTGAACTCCTTTTAACATTAACACTGACATTCTGAAATGATAACGGTGATGATGACAATGATCATGATCATGATCATGATCA